CGTCCGGATCGCCTCCACTCTCCGAATTTTTTTCCGATTTTTTTCGAATTTTTTTTTAATTTAATTTTCTTGTGCTCTCCATCTCCTCGGATCAAATTTTTGAGGTTCCCCCTCCCACTTTCACCCCCATCCCAATTTTTTTCGATTTTTTTTTGAATTTCATTTTCTTATGATCTCCTTGGATCAAGGTTTTCTCGATAATACAAAGACTCCAATTCCTCGGGTCAAGTTTTTCTCGAAATCAAAGACTCCATCTCCTTGGATCAAGTTTTTCTCGATATCAACAATATCAAGACTCCATCTCCTCGGATCAAGTTTTTTCGATATCATTAATACAAAGATTTTCCCCCCACACCACCCCAATCCCAAATTCCCTGCTCCAATTCCTCTGATCAAATTTTTCTCAAAATCAATAATACCAAGTCTCCATCTCCTTGGATCAAGTTTTTTTCGATAATACAAAGACTCCATCTCCTTGGATCAAGTTTTTCTCGATATCAACAATACCAAGACTCCATCTCCTTGGATCAAGTTTTTGAATTCTCCCCTCTGGGGGTAAGCATTCAAATAAACCCCTCCTATGGAGCATGGTACTTTCTCTTACTACAGGTCTAAACAAGTGTGACGTCACCCCACCTGTGTTTACTCGGCGGTCAGTGACGTCACATGATGACCTCACACATACAGGCTGAATCTTGTCGACTTCCCCCTATGTCAGTGACGTCACGTGATGACCCCCCACACACAGGCTGAATCTTGTCGACTTCCCCCTACACATTTTTCACCCTTAACCCAGGATAACCCAAATAATTTCACATTTTTTTCGTTAATACCCACATCAATCAACAATTTCTTTACAAAATGCAACACAAGTCTAGACATTTTTCTCGTTTTAACTATTTCATCAGAAAAAGTCGCCAAAACACTTACAACTTATAACCACTTTTCGATAAATTCACTAGTCACAATATTACATATTACGAAGTTAATACGCACACATACCTCACTTTACTTTGAACACCTTCAAAACACTCTCATAAATCATTTGAATACTCACAAAAATACCTTTGAACATTTCCAAACAACACTGAAACACTTCCAAAATATCATTTTGAGCACTCCCAAATACTCCACTGAATACTACTAAAACACCACTGAGTACAGTCAAAACACCATCAAAATCACCATAAACTAAGATCAACATAACAGACTAACACCCATTTTCACACAAATCCCCTCAAATCACTATAACCAAGACGATTACCAATTTCTATGAGTACACTCTCCTCAAACTAAGATATAACATGAACGCAAAAAAAACATGAACACAAACCAAAAACACACGAACACTTACAACAGAATCAACTCTTTTTTCGATATCTCTAGTTCGACAACAACACCCACAACCCACAACACCCACATCCCACAACACCCACAACCCACGTCACCCACACCCCACAATTTTTTCTCGTTTTAACTAATTTCATCAGAAAAAGTCACAACAACAACCCACAACTTATAAACACTTTTCAGCATCTCTAGTTCGACAACAACACCCACAACCCACAACACCCACAATCCACAACACCCACAACACCACAACACCCCCAACCCACATCACCCACAACAACAACCCACTTGTAACATCTTTTTCGGTATCTCTAGTTCGACAGCAACGCCCACAACCAACAAACACCCACATCCCACAACACCCACAACCCACATCACCCACACCCCACATCACCCACAACAACAACCCACAACTTATAATCACTTTTCAGCAACTCTAGTTCGACAACAACACACCCAACCCCCAACACCCACAACCCACAACACCCACAACCCACAACACCCACAACCCTCAACACCCAAACCCACATCACCCACAACAACAACCCACTTATAACATCTTTTCGGTATCTCTAGTTCGACAACACATAAAACCCACAACACCCACATCCCACAACACCCACAACCCACTTCACCCACACCCCACATCACCCACAACAACAACCCACTTATAACATCTTTTCGGTATCTCTAGTTCGACAACAACACCCACAACCCACAACACCCACATTCCACAACACCCACAACCCACATCACCCACACCCCACAACACCCACAACAACAACCCACAACTTATAACCACTTTTTCAGCATCTCTAGTTCGACAACAACACCACAACCCACATCACTCATAACCCACAACACCCACAACCCACAACACTCACAACCCACAACACCCACAACAGCAACCCACTTATAACATCTTTTTGGGTATCTCTAGTTCGTCAACAATACCCACAACCCACAACACCCACAACCCACAACCCACATCACCCACAACATCAACACACTTATAACGTCTTTTCGGTATCTCTAGTTCGACAACAACACCCACAACCCACAACACCCACAACCCACAATTTTTTCTCGTTTTAACTAATTTCATGAGAAAAAGTCACATCAACAACCCACAACTTATAACCACTTTTTTTTTTGGTATCTCTAGTTCGACTACATTACCCACAACCCTCATCACTTACCAATTTATTCACAATTTATTCGATACAAATTTTTCCCCTT